AGTACTCGCCACGGACCACATCGCCATCGCGCTCCTCCACCTGGCTCTTGGAGTCGCCGGAGAGGGAATCCTGCACATCGTAGGCGAATTTGTACTGGGGATGGGGATCGTACTCATCGTCGTGCTTGGCCAGAACGGGCTGCGCGTGGGCGACTGCCACTGGGGCATGAGCATAGGCCACAGCTTGAGCAGGTGCAGCGTGGTAGACCTGCTGGGCTGGCAGAACTCCGGCGCTGGCGGCGGCAACGAGCGCAAGGATGGCAAGGTACTGAATCAGATGAACATTCAAATAAAGTATTCACGGATTTAACTGTGCATTGACTGATCTTACCTGGAAGGCCATGGCGAGTGGGCGTGTAGAGCTTGGCGAATATCCAAACAGTGATGCGAAAGCAGAGAAGCTGTGGAATGATTTGCAGACTGGCCAACGCTCGGTTTTATAGCCCGGCTGAAGCTAGCTGAAATCGGAATGATAATTATATTTTTATTTTATTTCATTTCATTTATTTTGTTCGCTTTTGCCCCACATACTTTTGTCACTCTTATTTATTTTTGCGCTGATATTTCGACTGCGAGCGGGCCAATTACGAATAAAGATAAATATAGTACACACTCATAACACATATTTATGCAACAGCTTCGACATGTAAATATGTGTGGATTAGTGCCACAGGTAAGTGGTCTCCAATCCGCAGCCGCACCACACAACCACATAGGCACACAGACACACAACCACACCTCTATCAAATGCTGCCGTTTGACCGCGAGCTAATTTGTGTCTTTGTCGCTTTCACAATTTCACCTTGGAGGCGATATCGAATTAAATGCATAAGTATATACATTTATATTATTTAATGCTTGATTGCTTAGCCGATACGGCTGCATGTGGCTTGACAAGTACTTTTCCTTAATAAAGCTTAACGGCACAGAATAATATTTGGATAATAGAAACTTAATTTATTATTTATTTATTGCATTTATGTCTTTCTCGATCAGCCTCCAGGCCAAGATTCCCATATATGTTTTCAGCAAGGAACAATCTTTTGATTAAGAGAATAATCACAATTTATTGCATAACCATATACCAGGGATAAGTTAACAAGGGACGGATTACAAGTTTCGCACGGTGTAAGCTGGCGCCGTGTATCTCAGAGGGGCTGATACTGCAAAGGGGGTAGATCGGACGATGGGAGCAGCAACAGCAACTTGAGCAGAGCGGACCAAGGGGGCGGCAACAGCAACTGGAGCAGAGCGGACCAGGGGGGCGGCAACAGCAACTGGAGCAGAGCGGACCAGGGGGGCGGCAACAGCTACAGGAGTAGCCTTTACTACGGGCTCGGCAACGGCAATGATAGGTTCACGGCGAACGACGGCGTTGAAGCCATTGATGGAGTCGGCGGTGTAGGTGACGGTGCGCTTGAAGCCATCGGCGTCGATCAGAGAGTATTCGCCACGAACCACATCACCATCGCGCTCTTCCACATGTCCCTTGGAATCGCCGGACAGGTTGTCCTGCACGTCATAGCTGTACGAGTACTGTGGATGCGGATCGATTTCCTCCAGCTCAACGGTCTTGGCCAGAACGGGAGCGGACGCCACTGCCACGGGGGCCGCAGTCCGCAGCACCGCGGCCTGCGCCACGCCGAGCATAACCAAAGCGAAAGCGATCTGTTGAGAGATAAGATAAGTATCCTGGCGTCATCTATGGGTCTCTTAGCTATACCTTGTAAGCCATTTCTTATGGAATCGTTTGGAGGATTACTCGGTGCTGTTGGAAGCAGAAGCTAAACACTGAATGTCTGGCCAAACGGTGGACGTAAGGTTATATAGTCAATCCGATGACATTGATCACACCTAATTGGAATTCATTTTTGGCACCGCATCGGAGGTGGCTGCAGCCTGAACTCGTCACGTATAACGGTCACGTACGTTCTTCAGTTCTCCAAGTCGGACAGCCGTTCAAATGCGAATCTTGAATTGAAAACCCATAGTGCATATTATTTATAAATAAATATATAAGTATATAGATACTTGAGCTCTTCAGTTTTATGTATGCTTACAGTTATTGAACACATAATATGCATTGGAAATTGATGGGCGCGAATAATCGAAAACAATATTGGATTTCGAAAGATATGCGAATCGACTCGATAAGTGATATGAATTTCGATTTACAGCATATTAAAAAAATCACAAATTGTTTCTTAAAAACTTTGGATTGTATATTTGTGTTTTCATTTTACATCGTCATCGAATCGATATTAACAATATTTCTACATAAAATAATTATATATGGATGTATTGTTGAATGCATTTTTGAATATCAACAGCGAAGTTCGAAATGCTTCTACCTCTATTCATTACCTTTGAGTGTCCTTGACAATGATAGGCAAATCAGTTTACTTAATTGGAATTATGATTTATTAATTTTTATTTATTTTATATGGGATACTTCATCATAAAGCCTATATGTATAGGTTTTGATGACTCATTTTCAGATGACAATTTTTCAGAACAGAAAAAAAAACACAATTGGATGCGATAAGCTCTCCTAGTCAAGCAGTCTCGACTAGAGCCTTCTTAATTGTTATACCCAGAACCTATTGAAAATGGGAAATAAGGGTATAATGGTTATGTGAAGCAGGGTATAATGGCAGAAGGAATCATCGCAGACCCCATAAAGTATAAACATATCAGGGCAATGAGCTGAGTCGATATAGCCCTGTCCGTCTGTCCGTCCGTCCGTCCGTCGGTATGAGTAAGCCGATCTCAGAAGATATAAGAGCTAGAAAGCTGAAATTTTCCTTGCGTACCCTTCTCTTATAATTTTGGAAGGTAACAGTAACAAGTAAGAAAGTTCTAGTCAAGACTGCTCGACGACGAGATCCCCTGAACCCAAGGAACTGATATTTCAATAATAATTAGCACGCACACACACACACGCACACACACACACACACACACGCATACAAACAAACACAAGCACACATACAAGCAAACACAAGCACACATACAAGCAAACACAAGCACACATACAAATTAAATATGCGAAAGCGGTTTTTATAAAAAAAAACGTTTATTTGCTTTCGGAGTTTTATTAGAACTGACTTAAGAATAATTATACAAGTACTATTTATATTAAAGCTACCGCTGCTGCTATTGGCGTCGCTGCTGTTGTTGCTGCTAGGTGTCTTGTGACACGATGGCTCTCACGGTGGTGCTGATCAGTGCGCTGACTCGGCGCTCGTGGCGGAAATGCTCACGTTGACCAGAATGTGTTTTGGCCAAGTGCATTGATCTTATTAATATTGCTGA